TTCGACTCAACTCCGACAGGAGCGCCACCGTGCCAAGCTCTCGTGGGCTCGGCCCCTCTTCAAGCGTTCTCTTGACACCGCGCCTCGCCAGAGCGGCCGCCTTGGGCTCACGGCAATACGGGCAGGGGGCGAGATCCCTCCTTTGCACGAAGAATTGGTGGCCGCCCTCGCTCGCCTCCTCCCCCGACCGTACCTCCCGAACCTCTTTCGTGCTGGGGACCACTTCGTACTTTGTGAAGAGCTCTTGCTGAGGAACAGGGCCCCCGGATGCGCTCGAAATAAAGGGGCTTCCTTCTTCGTACTGGGCCTCCACGCACCGCAAGCACAAGAGATGCCCCCCTCCGCCTCGGCAGATGACTGCTCCGCCTCGGTTTCGTTTTCGCTCCCAAATAAAGGGTTCGCCCCCTCGAGCGTAGACCGCCCCCTTCCTGCCGCATGCGCGCCCGAGGCACGTTGAGCCGGATCCGCCCCGAGCAAAAGCCTCTGCAGGCCGCAAGCTGAAGGCGAGCCCGTAGTCGAACGCAAAGTCGGCGGCTCCCTGCTTTGCCGCATAGGAGGGGCGGCCCCCTCGCACACCCCCAGCATTTGGCAAGGGCGGGACGGCCGCCGGGACGCTCCTGATGTCGCTGAAGACTAGAGCCGGGCCTTGGAAGTGGACTGCCGCACAACTTCTGACTGCTTGACCGGCCTTCAAGGTGTTGTGCAGGGTCGCTGAGGCCGCTGGGGTGGTCGAGGAGATGAGCACGATGCCAGACGGTTCTTTTCCGTCACGGGATGCCGTCACGAGATTCATCCTGGCACCGAGGAGAAAGCATTGATTTTGAGCAGGTTTCGATGGCCCTAAGTCCCGGTGACCCCCTTGAGATTGCAAAGGGGGCGACTCTGTTTTGGAAAGAAACGACCGCCTTTCTCGACTGCCTTCTGTTATGGTTATGCGAGCCATGCTTGTAGCTTGCTGACCATGCTTACTGGCAAAATCTGTACCATAGTGGCAGTACGTGACTCAGAGCTGGCAAGGGACGGCGAGGTCTGGCAGCGACTTGAGCCGCAAAGAATGGGCCTTTACGATTCAAGCAAAGGCTCAGCGCTCTCCCACAAATTCTCGTAGACGATTAGTCCGGCCATACCCTGCAGCTTGCATGTGTACCAGAAAAGGACCCGTTAGATTCTTTAGATGTAATACAAAGAAGCGTTTCTTGGTACAGAACGATTGTGCGCTGGACGGAACGGTTTGTGTGCTTGATGGGGATGGCCGGCCATACCCTGCAACTGGAAGGTGCACCAAGAAATCACCCATTTGATTCTTTAGAAGTAATACAGCGTTTCCTGGTACAGGCTCATTGTGCACTGGATGGACGAAAGTCGGGGCCGGCCATACCCTGCAACTTGAAGGTGTACCAGGAAAAGACCCATTAGATTCTTTAGTAACACAGCATTTCTTGGTACACGTTCACGACTCCCTCCGAGCTGTCTCCTGAATGAAAAGCTCACACCGTTTGAGGGGCCCGCCATGCCTGCCAGGATGTACCAGGAAATGTCCATTAAATTCCGTCGAGTGAGAAATAGTACAATATCGCTTGCCACGGTACGTGCAAGAACGTTCCCTGAATCGAAAGGACTCTGCAGTACGTCAACCGGGTGTCCCCGCCGCCAGAAAGCTGCAGCGGCCTCAAACCTTTTGCAATGCCGGCCATGCCCCGCAAGATGTACCAGAAAACGCCCCTTAGATTCTTAAGAAGTAATACGGCGTTTCTTGGTACATTCTGACTGTGCGCT